TGCAGCTCCAGCATCCTCCCAGTCCCAGCATGGGGGGACATATGTCAGCTTATTATCTCTCCTACCACGGTGGGTGTTGCTGTAGAGGATTTTGGGAGGATGGCAGGCTGTAAAGGAAGGAAAATTTGGGAAAAGCACAGGGAGAAATAACTGATCAGCAAACGAGCTCCCAGGAAATCTCCACCTCTAGGTCACTGTGAAGAGATTTGCTCCTATGCAGCATGTATTTGGAGGCCTTGTCGGTGTTTAGCAAGGTAGAAATTCACAACTTTAAAAATTTTTCTAGGTTTTTTTTTTTTTTTTTTTTTAAATTTAAACAAAGGTGGCAAAATACCGCAGTGGCACTAAAAAAAATCATTAGCAATTTAATTAGCAGCTTAGTGTTCCATTACCCAACTTGTTCTGCTCACAGTGCAGCTGTGACTGTCATTTTGCATCTGTTTCTTGGGCTGGGGTTACATTTTGGTAGGTGAGTGGTCCAGTTGAAATTCCATGGAATTCTTTCTCTGCCTCAAAGCAGATGAGCTAAAAGGAGTTATTTGATGGTTTCCTGCATTCAGCTTCTTGTGCAGCAAAAAGCTTAACAAAAGGCCCCCTGAGTGATCAAAACTTTCAGTGGGAGCTCAGTGATGTGGTTTTACACAGATTTTTAGTTCATACAGTGCCTCTAATGACATGTCAGAGATTTAAAGTGTGCCAGAATTAAATAACTTTATAGAAGGTAGGAAGGAGCATAAAGTAGTAAACACACTTTTATTTGTTTCATCTTTGCTGTTTCTACAGCCTATTCCCTATTTTTCAGGAGTCCCTCATTCCACCTCCTGGCCAAAATACCTATGAACTAAAGATCAGAAATGAGTATTTTTAGATTTTGGAATGTGCATGACATCATTAAAAAATTGCATAACTGGACTAAAACTCTTCTTCCTGCAGAGAAATTCTTACTGCCAAATAAATACTGTCCTTGTAAGTACAACAGTAACTTTCTCCAGGTAGTTGCTCAGATATTGGATATGCTTATCCATATGCAGAGGGGGCTGCTGTTCAAGCAGGAAAAATATCCTGAAACTCTGAGCAGACTGGAGATTTGTTGACATGTAAGTGCCTAAGTTGGCATTGATATTTAAATTAATATTTCATTTAAAGATCATTTGAAACATTTCTTTAACATGCTTGAATGTGGCGAAACAGTGGCAACAGACTGAGGATTTCCATCAGGTGTTGTATCAGTTCTGATAGACTAAATGGCTGATGGGAAATTATTTAGGGTATTTGAGACTAAAACAAGAACAGAGGTAAGTGGGCTGCAAATTAAACATTTTAAAATATAGTTTAAGTCATATTACTGATGGTCAATACCAGGACTGCCATTAGACACATTGAAATCCTGAGCCAGACACAACATTTGGGGGTTAAGGAACTTACTTTGGATTTTTTAAATGAGCATTTGTGTACAAAATCATTGGGAATAACTATCTTTTGATACAATTAAAATCTAAAAATAGTTGCTTTTAGTTCTTATATGTCTTAAATTCTCAACACTGTAGGAAAAATAATACCAGGTTTAGGCTGCTTTAAAAAACCCAAACCAGCCAACCAGGTATAAATCTCTGAAAATCACAGACTTTGCCTTTATGAAAAAAGGAGCTTTTATTTTTTCAGAGTAAAACTAATATTAACGAGGAGGGGGAGTTGCCAGATGGTAAATGTTCACAGAGATTTTATCAATATTAACTGTATTTTGCTGCCTTTCAGCCATCTGATGCAACACCTCAGAAGGTCAAAAAGAAGAATCTGAATTCTTACTCCCCAATGACAGGAACATGCCAGATGAGTCCCTTTTCATCCCCTGTGAGCCACAAGGAACAAAATCCCAGGAATGCTCCAGCAAAAGGTTAGTTGAACATTCCCTCTTTCTTAATACAGCATTTTCCTGGTTATTGGCTTAATTTAGTAACTTGTCTCTCGTGTGCTATGTTTGTTTCCTTTTTCAACTTCAAAATTTTTCATCTCTTTTGGAAAAGCTGACGTTGCCTTTTAAATCTTGAATCTTTTCGGCCTAAATCTCAGGGGTGTTTATGAAAGGACTTGTTTATGAGACAAATTTTGCTTTCTGTAGCTCAGTATTAAAAATATTCGGCTTTGACTCAGTAAAAAAACCTCCACACTGGCATTTTTTGTCAATAATTCCATTAAATCCCCTGGTTTGGCGTGTTAACAAAGTCCTTTTTTATTTTCTGTATTTTTTGACAATTATTTTTCACGGTCAGGCACTTCAAGGCAGTTTTTAATGAACATGACACTGAACGTCATTAGCTCTCAGAAAATACCTAATTATTTTTATAACTATATTATTTCCAGTTCCCTGTAGGATTTACATGCACTCAGTTACTCAGTCACAGTTTTTGGTGCAAACTCTGAGTGCTCAGGGAGTGGATTCTCAGTGGCCTGAGCTGCCTTTCTGGCTCTGTGGGTTGTGGGGGGATCTCCTCAAGTGTCAAGGAAGCACAGGGAAGGAGTGATTGTGTGTCTCAACCACTTGTGGGCACCTCATTTATTGAAAGGACCTGTGTTTTAGAACAGTCTTGCTTCCACAAAACTGCAGATATATCAGCTGATATATCAGTGTTTTATTTTGTGGCCTTTCAGGAACTGTGTTGGGATTTGCGGTGCCAGGCCTGGATTGTGTCTGGGATGGAGGGAGTAATCTGATTTCTCCCACAGAGATTTCTCTGTCAGTCTCTGCTTTCATCAGCAGGAAGGAATTTTGGGGTTTGAATGCTTTAACTTCTGTATCAAGATTTGGTGGTACTTGGTGGTAAATATGGATCTCTCCAGCCTGTACAAAGAAACCTTTCCACCAGAAGAGTTGCCAGTAGTTGTTCTCCTCGCCTTTGCAAAAGCTTTTAAAGTTGTATAAAATGACAGCAGTTAAAATTAAAAACCTGTAGCTCTTTAGATACGTTCTCTTGAATATCCCTACGTAGGTAATTACCTGCTTTAATGAACTCTTAATTTTCATGACAACACACAAATGTTTAAATTACTACAACTTTTAAAACTTGCCCAGCCTCTCTGCACTTGAATTACATGCCTTATCTCTCAGGTGAAAGTAGAAAGGGGGCAAAATGTCGTGAATTAAAATGTATATTAGGATGTCAGTGGGAAAGGTGAACGTGTATTTCCATGCTGGTATTAAGGATGGACATAGGGGAACATTCCTTTTGCCTATAAAAAGCCTGGTCACATGAGCAGAGCTGACATTTAGATGGATAATTACTCAGTAATGTAGCACTAACCAGCTCTCTTTTTCCTGTGTTCACATAGCTACAAAATGGTGTTATATAATTATTAAATCCCAGGTTTCAGGGTGTCCTTTTAAACCCACAGTTTCTGTTCTCCTTCTAAAAAAACACTTTTGTTTTAAGAGCTGTGGTGCTTTAATAGATTCTGGATATCACCTTTGAGGTGTTACATATAATCAATACTCTGCTTTTCTGTGACCAGTGTGTAAGAAAACAACAGAACAAAAATGATTACAAAATTAAGTTCAAGTTCTATTGACTACTTAGATTTAAAATTAAATCTTTGGGGGTCTTAACCTTCAGCTGCTTAAACTTGTACAGCACTTTGTCATTCTGAGATATTTCTAAATGTTTTACAAAATATTAAAAATAAAAGTTAATTCATCCTTGAGTGCTGATACTTGTGTGTAATAATTTAGATTTAGTAAGAAATCAATGTGTTTTAATGCTTAGTGTGGTCTCCCTTTTTCAGTCTGATGTCAGGAAGGAGTTTTATTACAGAGAGATGTGAAAAGCACCTCATTTCACAGGGTGGGATCTGGGATTGCCAGAATTATCCCAACTTCCAGTTATTAATACTCTAATCCCAAGGTTTCCAGGAATATAAATGTGAACTGAGTTGACGAGAGCTCAAATTACAAAAGTGTAAATTGCAGTGAATTCATTGTGGCTCATTCCAGGGGATCTGTCCTGCTTTCCGAGTGAGTTTGGGGTTTTTTTCTCTTCCTAAAAGATCATTCTAAAATCAAGGTTCATAGTAACACCTTCACGTGCTTCAAATAGAAAATACCTCATTTTATCTTTATTGTTTCTTTTCTGCCTTGTGAACTCCGAGGAGAAGGGAGAGAGCAGAGCAATTCCAACTGCGGATTATCCAGGAGAGGGCAGCCTCCAACAGAGCAGGACGGGTGAGTGCATCCCATGTGTTCACTTTGTTGTGGGGGCAGTGATTTCTGTTTAATATTTCACACGGAATTCAATTCACAGCCATTATTTTTAATGCTTCTGATTGCACAGGATCGGATATTCGAAGGCACTGAATGGTTATGGGTGTAAATTAACACAAAAGCTTTTACAATTCTGGTACAATCTTATTTTAAGGTGTAAATCTCCTGACACTGATGAACTTTGGGCAATGCCCAGTTAGTAAAGCACTTCAGTAAATGTCTCAGGTGAGGTGTCTGATGGGCTGTTTTCCTACACAGGCATTATTGTTCAACTCAGTGTCAGCTTTGAGGTTGTAGCTCCTCCTTTTGAACTCTCCACTTGTCTGTTGGGCTTTTTCCTGGGAATGGACATTTCCCCCACCCTGAGCTTGAAATTCCTTCCTTGTAGGGACGGTGTTTTCTGAGTGATGGGGTTTGAAATGTAGTTTCCTACATTTCCACACTGTAGCTCTGTTCCTAAATTTAAGGGTTTTTATAAGGATAATTCTCCCTCCCTTCTGGGAGAGGAAACAGTCAATAGATTATTTGATGTGCATCTTTAAATGGTGCAAAGAGAAAATACCCTAAAACTGTCATGGCAGGAATTTTTTTAATGTGAAAATCCTCTGATGCTGCTGAACCTGAGTTCCTGTCCTTAAAATTAGGATATAAGGATTTTTGGCAGTTGGGATATGAATCCCAACCAAAGGCAGGTTTGGTGCTGCAGGACACTGAGCTGGATCCATCCTGGTTATGTTGGGAAGAAGCTCTGGGAAACATTGCAAACATGGAATTTCAGTGAGTGCTGATGAGAGTAATTGGAATTGTGTTACCTTTTCTGGATGCAGGTTCCTGAAGCTGCAGTCCCAAGTGAGAAGTTCATTGGTCAGAATTCTGAAAACAAGAGCAGATCTCACAAGCCTCCAGGTCTGCTTTACACTGATTTATTTTTTTTACCTGCTTTTAGTACAGGATTTGAACTCAAAATTAAAATGTTATATGCGGCATTTAAATTTTAGGGAAGCAAATAAAAGACTTGAAGCCAGGCAGGTTTGATTTGGAAATCCAGAAAATGCAAAAAACCTCAGAACTTAGAATAATTTTTTAAACCAGAAGAGTTGCTTTTCCAAGTCCACCATTTTAATTTTGTATCACTCCTCATTTTGTTCACAAATAATAACATATGTCGTTCTCAACTGTTATTTGTAACTTGAAATATGAATTATTACTACATAGATTTTTGTGTCCTTAAAGATGAAACATCCCTTTGTGATGAAGTGATTGTACTGTTTAATTTACCTCTAATGTGTCATCATTTAATAGTTTGTTTAATACATGTTAAAATGCAAATCACTCCTCTATTTTATTCCCATTTTGTTTCATTTTGAATAAATGTAACAAAAGGTTCACTGCTGTTTATCAACAGCTGAGAAATAATCCAGTGTACTCAGAGTACTGTAGTGATTTATTTTATGTGATCTGACAAGGTTTTATTTACCAAAAAACAAATACTGATACTAATTTAAAATATTTGTTAGAATTTATTTGATATTTTTAATTGAAACGTTTATTTATGAGCCATTTCCAAAAATAGCTTCTTTTGGGTGTTTCTGCTAAATTGCAGGCAATTAGTAGATAGTTTGGGAATGGGATTTAGCAGTGTCTTTAATTGTTGTTTTCCAGGCTTTGGAGGGCAGCAGAGAGCTGGAAAACATCCTCGGTGTCTCAGACTCCTCTCGTCCCCTGAGTGCTGAAGTGCAGAAAACCCAAACACTGCGTAAGGAGGGTTTGCGATCTACTGATGGCCTTTCTGTCCATTGAACAAGGATCACTCCAGAGGGTTCCTGGTGTTAGAATGGGCTGTCACAGCCCAGGACTCTGTTTTGGTCAAGAAAAACGCACTTTAAGAGTCCTCGTGTACCCCACAGGGACATAAAAGCCAGGCATTGCCATGTCCTGCTCTTCCAGCTCACTGGGGAGGGAAAACTTGGAAGAGCAACACCTTTTCTCATGTAAATAGTTAGATACTTAGTGGGTGCTTAGCTGGGAATTAGGATAAACGTTTGCACTTGGATTGCTTTGCCTTTCTTCTCTCCTTCCGAGGAAGTTGGTTTGTTTGTTTGCCTGCCAGGAGGATTAGGCTGAATATAAATTTCCAGGCTTTAAAAATCGCTATTCATGTGTCTTTAAATGATGGACATTCCAGGTGCTTACTGTGTTGGGATAAGGGCACTTTCCAGATGGCACATCGGGAATACCTTGCCAAAGGAACCCGGAAAGCTGAAGCTTTTCACTTACATGTGTCCATTTTTAGGAAACTCTTTATCCTTCCTCCAAGTCAGAGGTTCTGAAGTTCATTCCTCCTGCTCTTCCGAACCAGAAAGGGAAATAGTCTAATGAAAAAAAAAAACAAAACAAAACATGAATATTTACAGGAAAAAACCAGAGATACTGACTTTCAGGGATAAGGAATCAGGGTCTCCTTTTCCAGGTCATTTACATTTTTCTTGGAGACCTCCCATGCCAAGCTTATCCAGCTTCCAGCTGAGCAGGGAGTCTGAGCAATACCTGGATACAGCCAGTCCCTGTGTCCACTCTCCAGGCAAACATGCAAAGCTGATAAATAGTTTCTTAACCTGCAGCAAAGGTGGGATTTTGCCAATAGGCATCACTCTATGACCTGCCTGGTCGCTCTGTGTTCTGCCAGGTGTAAAAACACTGGAACCAGCTATAGGGAGGCAAAACCTGCAACTGCTGACTTTGCAGTTGGAAGCAGGTGGACAGTACAGCCATGGGTGCTAGAGAGTTTTTCTTCCCAGAGCATTGGAATTAATGCACACAATTCCAGCAGTGCTGTTGTTTAAATTACTGTTTCTTTCCTGACTTGTATTCCAAACCTTTTCCAAACCTGCACTGTTCCCACTGTAATGCCAGAGCCTTTCTTATACAGCAGGCAGTTCCCTGGAAATAGTGTGTGTTGCAAATCTCTGCTGTGGGTAGGACAGTCCAACAGCCCAGACCAGAATGCTGACATTCCCTGTCATGGCCACTCTTTCTGTCAGCTCCTTGGGAAGGAATCCTCTTTTCCCCCATCTCTGAACTAGGAACAAAGCACCATGTCAGGAAAGAATGGGAACACAATGTGGTATGAGGCTGAAAGAACAACCTGTCAAAATGATCTGAATTTTGAAAACTTTCTGTTAATTCTTTAAAGCACAATTGCATAGGTAAGGGCTCTTTTCCTTGAAATGCATTGAGAGTGAAGAAGGCAGCAGAGGGATCGTTTCCTTTGAAATCTCTGATTTGGGATTTATTTCTTCACTAGTGAGCCAAGCAGAAGAGCTGCAGCTGTTGAAAGGAAACCATGGAAAACTCCCTGCCCCAGGTGAGAAACTCCCTGTAACTCCTGTGTCACACGTGTTTGGATTCCTTCTGGTTGATTCCTGCTTAGCTCTTTCCACTTGCAAAAGGTTGGATAACGTGGAGTTCTGAGAATGATGAGAATCAAATGTGTTTCCTCTGAAAACTTCAGCTACACAAATTCAATATTTTTTGCTGTTTTCATTGTATTGGGTGTTTCTCCATGAAACTGTGCAAGGAGAAGAAACCATCAGTGGTCCAGAAACAAGTGCAGTCAGGTCCTGGAGTCTTTATACACCTTTTATGTATCCCAATTATCCTTGTTCTTCCCCATCCTCCTCCCTCCTGCTGCCTTTTCAGCAACAAACAGTCTTGCAGCCCAACCTTTTTCCCCCTGTACATACTGGGGGGGGATTTCCAAGCTCCAGGGGACTCTGAAATCCCAACTCCTGCGTTTCTTCATGACTAGTGCTGTGAAACTGTTTGAAGTTGGTGGCATTTAATACCAGGTGGCCACTTTGGAGCCTTGGCAGGAAGGAAGGGACACACACGGGATGGGGGTTTTATTTCACATGCAGTAAAATCAGCAACTTCCCCACTGATATTCTGATATTTCTGTTCTCTTCACCACTCTCTCTGTAAATAGAGCAAAACCAGAATTAAAAGCAGTGATGGCATCTCTGCTGCTTCTTCTGTTTGGATGTGCTCAGGCCTAAATTCCCTCTCTTAAAGGAAAGCAAATTGCTTTAACTGAGGTTTCCTGGGCTCCAGCAGATTATCTCCAAATGTAAAGGAGTGCCAACCCTTTGGAAGGAGTTTGGCTCATTCGTGCAATCTGCTCGTTCTGATTTACAGCTCCCTGTGTCCTCCTGTTCCAATGATCCCAGTGATGGGAATGCCATGGGCCAGTGCAGATTTAAACACTCACTGCCCTCTTTGTGCTCTGCTCTGTAATACACATTTCTAGTTTCATCTTTGCTCTAAAAACCAGCTCCTAATGCCAAACACACCCCCAGTCTTGTTAGAGGAGAAATACTTTATGAAAGTGGGGTGGAAAATAGAATTCTGGGTTTAAGTTGACCAATTTTGATGTAGTTTCAGTGTCAGTTTTGTTTTAACAAAGAATAAATTCAGTTTTGCAGTCTTGAAAATGGAGTTGTAGGAGAGGCAGAGAAGTGTGTGATCAAAGGAAAGCATTTGGAGATGTTTTCCTTTGCCTTTTAGTTTTGGATGTGGTTTTTTCAGAATTATTTTTAATTAGTTATGGCAAGGCTGCGACCTTATGACTGTTCAGTGGGTTGGTACCCAGGGAATGTCACATTGTCATCACATGGTGAGGCATGAAATTTATTTACTTTACATAAACAACCTCTTCTTAAAACAACTCCATCCAGAACATTCCTGGCTCAATGGGCAGCCTTGTGTGGAGCTCAGTTTATCATTTTGGGTGACCAGCAGGAAAAAAGGGCGGCATTGTCTGGCCATGACTGGAATTTACAGTAAACAAAATGTTTTGGAATAGAAAGTAAGCAAATTGTAGAACAACTGCCAAGAGATGGAATGGAGTCGGTGTGTCCCGGTCCCAGCCGTGCCCTGCGTGTGCTGGGAACGGCTGTGGAGGTTGGGCTGCGCATATTTGAAAGGAAAGTTCAATAAATTGGGAGGTCCCAGGAGTGAAGAGAAGATTCCAAACAGGAAAGCTACTTTGGTTGGTTGTTACAAGCTACTCTAATGCTTTGCTTCCCAAAAGCAGTGACATAAATCCTATCTGTGACTCCATCTGCTGTCCATGTGGGAAACAGGGCAGTGTTAGAGCAGATCAAATCTTGCAGTGTTGGGGAAAACTGTTTCCAGGCCACAATGAAATCCAGAATGCTTTCTTTCCATGGGGTTGTTCATCCTGCCCAGCTCAGGGAGAAATACAGTCACCCCCCAAGTTTAGTTCTAAACGTTCCCAACTTCCATCTTGGTTTTAGTGCAAATGACTGACTTGTGCACTCTTGGATCACTAGTGGTGGCTTTCCAAGAGACTGGACCAGGATCAACCAGTAAAAATGCAATATTCCACTATTTATCCCAGTTCATGTCAGTTTCAATTAGGACTGAACCCCTTGGGTCTGCTCTGCTGGTGGGTTGAAGGCAGTGAGGGTAAATCCCATTTACAATTTATTTTTACATCATTCTCACATAAAGTAAAAAAATTTGTTGCACTTCAGGCATACGTGGGGTCTGTCCCACCTATCCTTCCTCCTCCTCCTCCTTTGGGATCTCATGAGGAAAAGGGGAATACATCAGATTGCAGAGGTGAATTTTTCTCACTGTAAAACCTTAAGCTAAAAAACATGTTTATTTTTCTCAGCCCAATTTTGGACTCACTTGCAGGGAAGAAATGTCATTATCTCTTTGCTGGGAAAAATAAGTCTTGGGAACTTAAGTGAACTGAGTTGGTTCACAACTAAATTGATTCAGGAACTTGAGCTTCTTTCCAGTGTTCAGGTTGGGATTCAGATGCACAGCAGCTCCAGAAGGAACAAAGACAATGCTAAAGGATTTGTTTTCAAACAGATCATTAGATGGAGATTCAGAGGTTGTGTTTGAAACATTGTTACTCACTTCTTGGGCCAGGTTGGGTGTTTTGCCTCTCGTCCCAAATGTCTGCCCTGAGTTCACGTCCCTGGTGGTGCCCTCGGTTCTCCCGACTGCACATCCAGCCAGGAGATGTTGCCCTCTTGGCCTGGTCAGAAAGGTTCTGAAACTAAAATAGGAACTGAATTAAAAAGTAACATTTTCTGAAAAAACACAGTCTAAAGCCTGATGATCAACCGAGTTCAGCGAGCCCAGCCCCAGGCAGGCTGCATAGGCAGAGATTAGAGAGAGGCTCAGCACACATTCCAACTGGGAGATGATTCCTGGGAGCCGAAACCCTCGGAGTGTTGTGTCCTGTGTCTCTGGGGACTCAGCTCCAAGCAGTCAGAGCTCTGTGGTGTTGGAGAGGTCTGGCCTCGTTCAGCTGCTCTTCCCTGTGGAAGGATGTCCGTGTTTGTGCTCCTGAGGCCTTTCCCCCATCAGACACGGCAAGGGTGTGTCAGTTCTCCCAGGTGTGGGCTGGGCTCTGATCTCTGTCCTGCCCACGAGGAGCTGCTGTTGCTGCAGCTCAGTTTGTCTACACCATCCCTTGGTCTGTGCAGGGGAGTCTGGTTTAGTCTGGGACCGAGCAAGTCCCTCCCAATCTGGAAAGGTAACAAAACCCACTCACCCAGTCCCCAAAATCTGCAGTGCCAGCACTTTTCCTGGAACAAGGAGGAGTTGTCCTGGCAGAGGAGCTGGGGGGAGGTTTCCACTGCTCCTTCCCAGCAGGACTTGGGGCTGTTGGGTGCACCCACTCCATCAGAGTCCATATTTTAGAGTCCAGCCCGAGGTTTGAGGAGTCTCTCTGGGTGTGAGGAGGAGCTTTGGGCTGGAAGGAAGGAGCAGGTTCCAGAGCTGCAGTGATGGAACACCCTGTGCTATGCAGATAAAATATTAAGCCATTACCTGCTGTGGCAGACCCAGAAATGCACGTGAGACATATGAGTGTGGCACACCCAGAACTGTCACCCTGCATTTCACATTTGGGTGGCAGCCCCATTTATTCACAGATTTCCCACTCATATTTACTCTCTATTTTCCTATTTACCTTTTTAGAGACACAACAGCTATTAATTTTTAATTCTAGTGGATCTAGTTGAGAGTATTAAGCTTAATGAAAAATTCAGAAGAATTGTAGTTCTTCCAACAGCTACATGTAGCAACTCCTCCAGCACAATAAATACTGCTTTGTCCCATGAATATAATTATTTTAAATAAAAAAGAAAAGAAACATTAGTTTGGACTCACTTAGTAGCAATTATATGTTTAAGAGGTGTAAATAACTTGCCATCCAGACATTACAAATATCCAGGTGCTCTGTATGTGCTGATGACAACAAAATTGAAAAGAAAGACTGTAATAATTCTGACTGGTTTTCTCTGCAGAAGATATTGATTATTTGTGTGTGGTGAGAGATTTGGAAAATTCAATTAAAGGAGTTGTGCAAAGGTTTCATAAATTTCCCGGGTACAGCGTGTACACAGACATTGCTGCCTATTAAATCAATGCAGCACTTCACAATATATTTTCTTTGAAACATAAAAATAAATAACATTTAAACAGTTCTGCTTACTACAGAAACAAATTTTATTTTCTGTGAAGCATTTAGTCATGTGCTATCACTGACTCATACACATTTGCCAGCTGTAACAAATTTTATAGACGTTTTCTCCAGAGACAGAGCTCATATACTATGAATTTTTAAATGAGCAAATGGTGAAGAAGGGATGTCAGCAATATAAAAATTGATCAGTTAAAAGATAAAAGCATAAGTAAAGAGATTTGTATGGTAGTCTTAATAGGTTTTATTAAATAAAAATACTATAAAAAGACAGTAATGAATAGACTGAAGGTTTTAACTGTGGTTGAGGTGGAGAAAAATTATTCTGGCACATTTAGTAGAAGATTGGTTTTATATCACCCGACAGGTGAACATTTTTTTTCTCTCTGCTTTTTAGATCTGTAAATGTTTTAGAGCAGTCAAACTTGGGGAAGAGTGGCAGGGGAACTAGGAAGGGGAAGGAAACTTGGGAAGATCCAGCCCTTTTAATGCTCCTGTGGGCCGAGAGATGCCACGTCCGAGGGCAGTGAGGGCTCTGCCAACCCTGCAGGAATAGGGTTGGGGTGATTCCAGCTCCTCCCTTATCCTGGGAACCCTAAAATTGAAGCTGAGGAGAGGAACAAGCTGGGCCTACACCACCCACCTCTTCTGCTGCAGCCCAGGTGCCTTCTGGTCCCCTCCACATGCCCTTTTTCCAGCTTCTCTGCTCTCATCCATCCTCACCCAGGAGTTGTGTGAGTGTTCTCTTTGGGTTTATGTGCTTTAACTTACTCAGAAGCTCTGCATGGAAAGATACCAAGAGAGAGAAGGGCTTGGGGGTTGTCTGTGTTGTTGGGGTTTTTAAGAACAGCTTACTCTGAGGTGAGCAGAGGTAGGTGGGATTTTGGGAAGAAATTCTTCCCTGTGAGGGTGGGGAGGCCCTGGCACAGGTTGCCCAGAGAAGCTGTGGCTGCCCCATCCCTGCAAGTGTCCAAGGCCAGGTTGGATGGGGCTTGGAGCAATCTGGGCTAGTGGAAGGTGTCCCTGCCCATGGCAGGGGGTGGGACTGGGCGGGCTTTAATGTCCCTCCCAACCCAACCCAACCCATTCTGGGGTTCTGTCTTTGAAAAAAAAGCTGAGTTCAAGATGTTTTATGTGAATCTGGGCAGTATTCTTTAGAACAGCTCAGCATGGTGGCTGTGGCATGTTTGGGTTCTCCATGTGCTGCACAGTCCAAATGCTGCAATCAGTGATTGAAGGAAAATCAGTTCCATAAAGACTGAGTTAGGAATTGCATTTAGGACAAGCAAACCAGCTCATAATTAAATCTGTCATTTTTTCAGTTCCTTGTCATGCAACACTGGACAGGTTCCTGTTGGAAGCAATTGTGGTGTGCTTTTGTTGATGATTTGGGTAAACAGGAGGTGGCTATCAGGAATAATGCTGGAAGTGGGACCTGAGGCCAGGTTGGATTGGATGCCTTTTTGTGGCATGTGAGACCTGGCTTAGGACAGAGCCTGGGCTTGGTCTGGGTCAGGGGTTTGGTGCCCCTCCCCAGCTGGGTTTCTGTTCCCTGTAAGCTGCTCTAAACACCTGCCTGTTCTTCCTGGGGTGTTTATTACAGTTCTGAATTCTCTCCTCACCCGTGGTGGTGGTGGAATCAAACTCCTCGTGACACTCAGGGTCCTGGGGGCAGAGCTGCTCATCTGCTGCAGGACCATTTGGCACTCAGATGCACCTGCTTCCAGCCCCTTTCCATGCATGTTCTCATTCCCTGAGTTCCTTTCTGCCCTTACACTCTTCTCCTCTCCTTCTCCCAGCCACCTGCTCTGCCCTCATCCTGCCCTGCCCTCCCCAGCTGGGGGGCTCAGGTGCAGGGACCTCCAGGGATGGTTGTTCCTCTCGTGCAGTCCTTGATTGGGTTCTGCTGAATATGGTCCTGATGCATTTTTATTTATTCTTATTAATAGCAAAAAGGAAGAACCAGCTTCTAACACTTGTAGCACCTTCTGTTCTGCTTTGGTAATGTAACACTTGCACATCCTCTCACAAGGACTGAAATTACTGCTGAGACTCCAAGGAAAAGGGCTTCTGGGTTGTAACCACTGCAGCAACATTTAACTTGGGTTTGGGGGGGATTGTCACAGATTCTGCCATGACCCCCTTGTTTAACACACATTATATTTGTTTCCCCCTCCTCAGGGTACATCCAGACTGTCAGGACCACTGAGTTCCTGAAGTTGCTCCTGGAACAAAGCAAGGAGCCCCTGGGGCTGCTCCCTGCCCTCCCCAGCACCCAGGCACTGGCACAGTGACCAGGGCCGTGACCAGGACACAGGTACTTGTAAAGCATTTGCAGAGGGCTCTGGGATGTCCTGCAGGCACCGCTCAGGACCCCAAGGGGATCAGTTTGTTCCTCCTTTGGCTCCTTGTCCTTGTGTTGAGAGGGAAAAGCCCAGGTAGTGACTGATTGTCATCGTGTGGTATCTGAGCAGGAGAAAACTGGTTTCATGGAGTCTTTAAAGATGAGAATACCCACAGATGATGTCAGTTCCTGACAGTGTGAGAACAGCTCTCTTTGGGAAGCTGAAGTGTAATTCCTGTACCAGGAGCATGGAAGCTGGGTATGGCCATAGGGCAGGGCTGAGCTCACACACCTGCATTTTGCTGCTCAGTTTTACTTTGTAATCAGCTGTAAGTAACTGAGTAGCAAAGAGCCTTTTAAATCCTGCTTGGCCACAATCTAACATTCCCCTGCTGCTTCCTGGCTGCTTATGCCAGAGTCTTCTACTCCTTCCAAGCCAGTTCCCGCTCCCAAGGCAGCATCTTTGAGGGATGGCATCCCCAGCCCAGGATAGCAGAGTCAGCATCCTCCTTTTTTCCATTCAGCATCATTCCTGAGTGCTGCAGAGTGGCCTTTCCATGGTACAGTAACACGTTAAGTCTTACACTGGGTTATCAGCTCACAGTAGCATTGTGCTGGCAACTCCAAGGCTTCAGTTTCACAGCTGGCTCAAAGTACTCAGGTCTGCTGCGAGTTCATGTCAGTGGACAGCAGAGCATAGTCAGTGAGTATTTGCATAAGGCTGTGCGGCTCATGCCCAAAAAATGACAATGTCCTGGTTCTCTTTATCCCTTCCATGAGTGACCAGTGCTGTAAAGCCCTTTGTTATTGCTTAAAAAAATGCAACTGTGGTGGCTAAATGATCTTTTAGCAATTAGTCCTCCACTTTTTCTACAGAATGTCCTTAAACCATCCTAAAATGTTCCTGCAGTCCAGGGCAGAGCAGCTGCTGCTCTGCATTGCATGGGGTTGTGTGTGTTGTGTGTCTCCCACAGCGAGGTTTGTCCTGGCCATCAGGCAGCCCTGAAACTCCAGACACATCCCCTGAGTGATGATGCTGTTGTCTAATTGCTATTTATTTTTTATCATGTCCCCACAGGCATTATGTGAAAAATGCATTCCACATCACCCCAAACTTCTACATCTGCTGGACTGGACTTAAAAGGAGCGAAGAACTGAGTGTAAACCAATCTGCCGCCAGTCCCGGTGCGGGAGCGGCGCTGGCCAGGCAGGTGCAGTCACATAACATTCCTGGCATCCATTTAAACTGAACAGTGTGCACCACCACATCATCCCAATGGAAATAATCCACCGTGCTGGGAGCTGGGGCTGCTGCTGCCTGGGAAATGAACTGTAGGTTCTGCAGGTTCTGTTCTAGCACGGGTTGGGCTCTAAAGCCAGAGGAAGGTTTGCAGTGCAAGGAATTATTCCGTGTTTCAGCTGTTGGCAAACACTTTCCCTGCTGGTGCTGCTACACCTGGGGACCTTTGTCATCCACAACCAGGTTTGCTCCAAACTCAACCCAAGCCAAGGCCTCAGCTTCAAACCCAGCATTAACACACAGGCTCTTGGAACATTTGCTTTTTAGGTCAACATTTTAGTTTAGTTTTGGTATTTAATGATGTAAGAGCAGAGTTGTTTTATATAAACCAGTTGCCTTTCTTTTCCCACCGCTCCAGCCTACGGAATTCCCCACAACACAAATCCTTGCATTAGGTTGGAAAAGTGCAGTACAACGATTTATACTTTTCTAAGTTCAACATAAACACCCAGTTGAATGTCCTTTCTACTCCTGCAAAGTCCTGCTCCTCAAACTGATTTGTACAACTAAAACTCTGAGCACCAAAATGATGAATGTGTTCCACACGCTCAAGCTTTGGGAGTTTTTAGTTAATAAAAATGTTTTTGCACCTCACTACCTGTGCAGTCCAACTGGGAAAAACATAGTAAGTGGTGGAAGGGAACTGGGACAGTTTCTGTCCCTTCCACACCAGTGTCTGTCAGGCTGTCAGTGCTGTGGGTTGCTGGGTGTAACGGGCACCAGCTCATTGCTCTGTAGCATGAGGGGAGATACTGAACCAGCCAGAGTTTATGTAACCTGACTGTAACCTCTGGAGCTGGAAATTAAATAATTATTGATCTGAGAAGAGCCTGGAACTGACTGTGCTGGTCTAAATCAAGCTGTTCTGGGCAGTCTTGGGAGAGCAACATAAAACTTGTACAGGAAATAGCAGTGAAGGTGATGATGGGCAATGAGTTACAGCATAACTTACACCGTGGCAATTACTAAATCTGGTATTTAGTCATTTTTAGGGAAATAAAGCTGTACACAAAGACTGTGCTGCACATGCCCCCTCACATGCCTCAGCTATTTAGGCAGTTACTGTGGCTCTGACCTCCTGCTGTACCAGCTCCTGCCTCTGAAACAGCTGGGGCTGTTAAGAACCATTTCCAGTTCCACACAAGGTGGATCGGGTGACTCTCACTTTATCACCCCCCGAGGCCACCTCAAGGACAAAGAAAAGGGATACACTCAAAACTAATGTTTGGCTATGGGGGGAAGGACAGGCCTGGGCTCCTGCTGGACACACAGACCAGGCTCATTAGACCCTGAACTGCTTCTGCTTCCCTCCACCTTCATTTTCCTTGGCACCTTAGAGACCTTCTCCAAGGCTTTCCCCCAGCCCTGCCTGGAGGAACATGGTGGTTTTGGGATTTTACAGCCTCTGGAGACAAAGATTCTGTTTTTGTGTCCTGATACACATCAATGCCACCCGGCCTACACTTCCAAAAAGAAAGGCTGTGCTGTGAGTTACAGTCACCCCCACAGAAAATTCTAAATGCTTGTGAAAATATTGAAGTTTGTTGCTTTGTAGGAATTTGCTGAACTGTGCTCACCCCCCATATCCTCAGAGTTATTACTCCAGAGCACCGTTTCCACTCTGTTGGAGCTGCCAGGAGCACAGTGTTGGCTCTGGGTACTTTTTCCACAACAAATAAGGCTGGAAAAACGGCATAAATACACTGAGCTCGGAGCCACTCCATTGACAGGGCTCATAACTGACACAGTTGGAAGTTCCCAGAACAGCTGATTCACACACTGACACTAATGGCAGTGACAGGCTGGAATGTGACAGCACAGTCAGGGCAGGGGGAAGCCTCTCAACAAGGATGGGGGCTTTTTTTTTATATATATATAGATAGATAGATACAGAAGAAAAAGCACAGAATGACTTCTAATTAAACTATACGACCCTAAATTGCTTTATGATTTATTTTCTTCCTCCATGCTTTGTTATCTTTATAATTACTCAATCAATTTGCATTCTCTGAATTATTGGCAGTGGAGGCTGTGCTGCACCCAGGGACAAATTGCAGAGTTGAGTTCAGTTTACGTCTGCAAATTGCTGTGCAAGGAGGGGGGTTGTTGTGGGTTTGGGTTTTTTTTCCCCTCATACCTGGTTTCCAACTGCACTGCAGCACCTCAGCTTTTACTGCAGGAGAAAGAAGAGGTTTTGGCTTTTCAGTCCTGCTGAAGAGACAGCTGTTGAGTCCTAAGGCTGCAGAGGTGTTAGAACCACTTGGATCAGAGCTGCTGACCAACAGTGAAGGCACAAATGTCGCGATGGAGGAAAGTTTGTGTCGTAAAACAATTCAGCAGCACAAATTCAGAGCTGCCAGTCCAGTGTTTCGACTTTACCTGCGTGACTTCCTTATGCTTTTGACGCTGGGAAAGGAACAAACTCAGTGTTACTTTTGCTAATACAGCAAATACGGGGTATTTTAGCATTAATTCAAAATTTGGTCCTTTATTTGGCATTTTAGGTTTACAAATGGTAACAAAAGTACGACACTTCTGAAGAAAACACACCAAATCATAGTTCCAATGCTCTTCAACAGACTTCTCCTTTGAAACAGTCTTTGATTGTTTCGTGTTTGAATAAGTCAAACGTGTTTCCTGACTTTCCCTGGGTTCCAGCAGTTGTGTCCATCCCAAAGAGGTTCCCCTGCAGCACTGACAGCACTCACCAAACGCACTCTGTCCTGCACACTTCAGTCCTGGAGCTCCACAGGTGGATTAACTGATTTTCTTCTGGCTTTTGCTATTCTTGGAGTCCCAGAGTATCACAACGTTAAAATAGACCAGAAATAATAAGAAGTGTAAGCAGGAAACAATGGACACGGATACAGGGAACAAATCCGGGAGGCTCTGGGGAGGAGGCACTGCAGCACTCAGGAGAGACAGGACACCCATCAGGGACAGGGAAAGGAGGAACTGGAAGATAAGGGATGATGGATTAGGTGTTGGTGATGTAACACCTCAAACAGGTGAGCTGTTACTGCATTGTTTGGGTGCTCTGTCACAGCCCCCCCTCCACTGGCACTTTTGCGCTGGGAGGAGTTACAGCAATGAAATCGCTTACCAGAGTCCTGACAATCCTGGGAAAGGACTTAAACCAAGACACATATCCCTTCAGGGAAAGGGAGAACGCTTTGAGCTGCAGGTCCTCTGCTGAGGTCTTGTCCAGGATGGAGAAGGAGGCCAGGCAGGTGGCCAGGAATGCTGGCATGGTCACGGCATAGGGCAGGAGCAGCCCGTCCCGCAGCAGGAGAGGCAGCATGCTGGGAGCAGGATCATCCCAGCGTGAGGGCACACACCCAGGGGTGTTCCAAAGAAGGCAAAGAGAAGGGGAAAACCAATAAATACATTTATCCTTACAGGAGCTGGGGAAAAACGTGGTGTTCAGAGAATGGGTTGGGAGGGACCTTAAAGCCCATCTCATTCCACCCCTCTGCCATGGGAAGGGTCACCTTCCACTAGCCCAAGCTGCTTCAACCTGGCCTTGGACACTTCTCTGGGCAACCTGTGCCAGGGCCTCACCACCCTCATAGGGAAGAATTTCTCCCCAGTATCCCATCTAACCCAGGTGGGAAGCCATTCCTCCTGTCCTGTCCCTCCATCCCTTGTCCAAACTCCCTCTCCAACCATGTTAATTGTTTCCAACTCACCTGAAGGTTGATACGAGTAAGAACCACGTGGCCATAAAGGGGATTTCATTTATGATTAAGCAAACTGGGCTAGAGTGAAAAGAGGAGAAACAGGGATCAGATCTTCCCTTATCAAGCATGCCTTCCAGGTCCATGTGGGACATCCACACGGAACAGCAGACTGGTGACTGTCCCCTCAGCCAGAGTGACACAGGACAGACCAGCCTGGCTGTACTTCACACCTTCATTTCCAGGTTATTCAGAAAAGCAAATGTGCAGAGTGTTTTAAAGTTCAACATATTTGTAGATTAAAGAGCAGCATGCAATAAGAGCACAAGGAAAAGATCAAAATATATCCACAGGAAAAAAATTACTTACAGTGCCACCAGAAGAATGGATTTTTCATGGACTTGAAAGGAGAACAGGAAAAATGACAGGGCACAACTAACCTTAGGAAAGGAAATCAGAGCTGGTTAGTGTGTGTGACTGCAATGCAAAGTTCTGCTTTAGTGTCTCTGGCACAGACTCCACACGGAGGCAGGAGCTCAATGATCTGAGTTTTCTAATTAACTGCTACATTTCCTTCAGTGCCATTTACAGGCACCCAGAGCAGCTCCTGGAACCACCCACATGCGCTGAAAACACTGGGTTTGAAAGTTGACCAGGATTAGTCAGAAAGCGCTTCATGCAGAGCCCTCACTCTCGCTCAGCTTCACCCAGAGCACCCCACCAAGGAAACACAATATTCACCCACACAGGCACTGGGAAACCTCAGCCATGGTAAGAACTGCCCACCTTTTTGACATAAAATTTTGCTCATCATCATGAACAGTTAATACACCAAAGTCAATAAACTGGTTCAGGTTTGTTTTTCCTCCCACCAAATAAAAACACTGCAAAACATCAACTAAATCTTAGAAAGGGTAAGTGGGACTTGTAGGCAGTGTTGTGATATGCTCTGAAACACTGCTCACATAAATTAAAAACAGAAATTATCTTGTAACTCTTGAAGCTTTAGAACCAGCTCCATATGATTTTTGATTTTTGCCGAAGTCATGGCAATGTACTTCAATTCAGTGGTGTGACTAAGGAAAGGCAAACATTTGGGAAAACAGTATCATTTCATTTTCAAACCACTAATGAGCTCACAATGCCCATTTGGGGACTTTTTAATTGAATTTTGCAGCCAATGCGATAAGAAAAACTAACACTTTGGTAGCTAAACAAAAAGAGGAGAAATCCCAACTCTATATGAGGTTTTAATTGTATGGAATCTTCTAAAGACTCTTCAGAGGAAGATGATAAAACACAGCATTAAATAAAGAAAATTGAGGCTAAATAAACAAGTCTGGGTATAAAAGACAGGTCAGACCCCCGGACATGTGAAAGTAAAGCATTTTTTAACCAATTCCTTCAGCATTTCATGGCACACACCCCTCTGTGCTCTGCAGCAACTGCTGTTGGAGCTGCTGGTCACACACCAGTGCTGAGAGGTGGATGGAAACAAGGAGCAATTCCAAACAAACACTTACCAAAGCAAATTTAAACCCTCTGAGGGAAGGCTGGACAGTGAGTTTGATACAGGCAGGAAGCAGGCTCAGGAATGTCACAGCAAAACTGGAGAGTTTTGTAAGAAAAACAATTTAAATACATGAGCAACTACATCCAGTAATACTTCACTCTGTAGGCCCAGACCTGAATTCTTCACTTAGTTGAGAAAGAGACCTTTGAGCTCTGACTTCTAAGAGCACTGAAAGGGCTCTTGTATTTGCTCTTGTATTTGTATTTGCAAATTTTAACTGTTTCAACCAGGCAGCTTAAATCACCATATGGACAAGCAGGGAATTTTTCAGTTCCTAACAGCACTTGGGGAGACCCTCATCACTTGGGAGAAAAAACTACCTAAAGCACTTAAGTTATGTCTTACCTGAGTTTGAGCTGAGTTTGAGGTGACACTACATTCTTTATCTTTATAAGGACACTTAGACTGCACCAAATATTGGCTACTTTATCCTGGAAGAAAATAAAAAGGTAATTATTGATAATTCAATTGATTTAAACTTATGTTTGTGACAACAGCAGGGCTTGGGAGGTGGGGTTCATTGGGTTTCTGCTCTGAGAGCGCAAAAAACACTTGCAGATGTACATCCTATTCTTAGATGTACTTGAGCTTATTCTGAGTGGAAGTTTCAAGAGACTCAACTAAAACATTCTCTAAAATAACTGAGAAATTGTTCTTCAGCACAAGGGACAACTATTTAACTCAAGAGACCACATATTTTGTGAGAATATGGCTCTGACACGGTGTCCCTGAGCAAACAAACACTGGCACATGGGAGTCCTTTGCAGGAGGACACGGTGCTGGCCCATCTCATTCCTGCCTGGCTGTGCTCCATGCCTGACCAGCACTGACAGAGTTAACCCCTAATAAATCAAGGAGTCTAAAGACATTAGCAGTTGTGCTAGGATCACTTTCCAAATTAAATCTGTAAGCACAGCTCGTGAAACTCATCCCCAAGCAGCTGCTGGAGGCACAGCTGTGTGGACAGAACACCACGGAGGCACCAGCACCACCAACTGAGCCACCTCCCTCACGGGCTCGCCAGCAACACGGGCTATGCCCAGGATCCCCAGGGGACACGGGCTTTGGCAGCACCAGCAAACACCACTTCACAGCCAGCACCCTTCCACAGCCTCAGCAAGTGTTCCTGGGCTGCAGAGGGAGCCAAGCCAAAGAACCTGTCCCACACCCCCGGGCTGAGTTACTGGGCAGTGCTTACGTGGACAATTTCTCATTTTATCTGCATTAGCATCCAGCAAGTCACTGCCCTGAGCAGCCCAGGAAATATTTGGGCTAATATTAGACTAAAATCCTTCTGCTCTTTCGGACACATTGGTTATTGACATTTACAGATTGCATTTTTTAAACTTGGTACTGAATAAAAAGTGTGCTTTTTATCGCTTCACAAATTCCAAATAATCCCCAAAGAAAAGGGTCATTTTTTTTTTTTAGGGGAGGAGGGTGTTTGTGTGAGGAGGGGTCTTTTTTGGAGAGGTTCTTTGGTGTTTGTTTGTTGGGGGTTTAAATAAACTAGCAGAGAGTACACTAAGAACACTTCTGTACTACTGCCTTTGGTACATCAATATTAACTTCTGAAGAAAAATGTGCCAGCTGTGATATTATCTACATCTGAGAAAGACTGGAAGAATAATAAACATGAATTAAACTACGTAAGTATTTGCTTTAATCCCTGTGACAACACAACCTGAAATCCAAAGCTTCATTTTATTGGTTAAGCTTGAAGGTGAGAATCTGCTGTGTAAGAGTGCAATATTGACTCGTGCCCTAATTAAGCAAAAGAGCAGCAACAACTCCCTGTGAGTTGGGAAATGGGAACCCTTTCTTTCATCCCAAAACTGCTATGGCATTACCACTAGGTAAATGAGGAGTTACTTTACTGGATGAAGGTTGCAGTGGTACTCAGCACTTGGCAGCATGCAATTGTCCATAGCCTTAGGAAAAGCAGAACTGGCCTAAAACTTTTGGAAAATACAGTGGAAACTGACATGAGGTCGGTCAAAAAGGAAGTTCTAGGCTCTACCCACAAGATTGTTTTAAATTCTTTTTTTAAAAAATACCACTGAAAAGAGCTGAGCAGAACCAAAGACAGGCTGACACTGTTCACTTTCAAGGTTATATCTTCTGACACTGTCAATTACTATGGAATCTGTTTCAATGGAAAAATGTATGGATTGAAGTATGGGTCTGATGATGGGATAAGTGTTGTCTACTGGTATAATATCCTGGAAGATGCCAGCTGAGCTGGGGTTAAACGCTGGATTAAATAACTGGCAAGGACTGCCTGCTGAAGAAGCCTCTCGAATTACCCGTCCCGTGGTGTGTCTCCCCCATGAAATCCCTAAAGGTCACACTGAAGGTTTCTCAAGGGATCTAAGAATACAGGGCAGGGGCAGTGGGGTGGGGAGAAGAAAACATGCATGCCTCAAACAAGCCTCTGTCAATGGGAAAGAGTCTTCTGAGTACTTGCATGATTTGTTCCACGTCGGTGCCGAACGGGAGCCAGCAGGCAGCGAAGGACAGCACCACTGTCCCTGCCAGTTTGCTCAACAGCACCAACCTGGGCCCAAGAGAAGAAAAAAGCTCTCACTTGAGGAAAAGCAACCCAGCAGAAACACCTGCCTTAGGTCTCAGCAGCAAATACTCATTTTGCAGGAGGGGAAGATGTTACACAGGTATCTTCCACTCCAGGTGAATTCAGAAATGCCCACATGCAGATCAGGAGAATCCCACTCTCCATGCCAGGCTGCCCAGGTGTATTCCTGAGAAAGACAGAACAGTTTAAAGCCACTTACCCCTTTCCTTTCAGTCCCTTCTTGAAGCACTTCCCCAGTAAATAGCAAAAAAAGGGCAGGGAATGGTAGAGCTCCATTTGCTTGTAATTTAAGGCCAAGCAAAAGGCCACCGAGCCCAGGAGGTCCCAGTCATGGGACAAACAAAGGACACCCCACAAGGCAAAACCGAGGCTCACTGAGTTGTATATGTTTTTTTATGTCAAGGACAAGACACAGATCTCAGTTCTGCAAGTCAGTAATTAATGCCCTGAGGGACAGGCATAAATAGCTTGGAAAATTAGTTTTTCTAAGTTAGTTTTAAAAACACGTTGCCAGTCGTGGCTGTTTCGTTCACAGAGAGAAATAATTTTACTTCTGTTTAAAATGTAATTTTTGTATTTCCAAGGCTTGATTCAGAGCTTGCACGGGTAAATATGAGGACAAACTATGTGTGTGTTAATTACGTATATAAAGTATATTCAGCCAACCAAGCTCTTGGTGACAGTACTACACAACATGCATCAGGACAAACTTTCTTCTTGTATTTACATAGTTAAGGACAAAGCTTCCCCAAGCTTCTCCTCCCAGCTCCCAAAAGATATGTGCAGAATATTCAAATACATCAGTGTTTAAATTATATATAATTTAGTTCAAGGACTTTGGAGGTTCCTGTGATTCTATTACACTCACAGTGCACCCTCATCCATGACCAGTTCCCTTAACTGCTAATCCTGCACAAACAATGAATAATAGTTACTAAAAGCAATGTTGTTGCCTCACGACTTTGAGAACAGGTTCACAAGATCAGTAAATTTGGAATAGACTAAGCTATGCTTACTATTAAATTGCCAAATTAGCTTTGTCTTTTACTTGGTGTTCTTAAAAAAATGAGATAAACCAATAAGGCACAGAATCCCAGAGTGGTTTGGTTTGGGAGCTATTTTAAAGCTCATCTTGTTCCACCCCCTGCCATGGGCAGGGACACCTTCCACTATCCCAGGTTGCTCCAAGCCCATCCAACCTGGCCTTGGACACTTCCAGGGATGGGGCAGCCACAGCTTCTCTGGGCAACCTGTGCCAGGGCCTCCCCACCCTCACAGGGAAGGATTTCTCCCTGATGTCTAATCTAACCCTGCCCTCTGGCAGTGGGAAGCCATTCCCCTTGGCCTGTCTCTCCAGGCCCTTGTAAACAGTCCCTTGCATTTCTTGTGCTGTCAGAAATGTCACAATGCTTGGTTTCCTCTGTCAGTGGAGGAATGTGTGATGACATATCCAGACTGCCCACATTGCTTTCAGCCCACTCCCATTTCCCACTCCCAGGGCCCGGGTGTATTTGACAGCTCATTGATTTCCCATCAGCAAACTCCCACCAAAAGGCCCTGATCTTGCAGCAGTTCAGGTTAAGCAAATCTTTGACTTCCTGGGAGCAGGGTACAGGGAGTGACACTGTCCATGTAAGAGTGGTGGGGTTGGGACAGCCCCCTGGGGCTCTGCAGGACATCTCTGCTTCCACTGCACCCGCCCAGCATGAGGTCAGCTGGCAGCATTTGCTTGTTCTTGTACAAAACCAGAATTCTTACTAAAACAGACCTCCTGTTGTAATGCACCAACAGGGACCGGTCAGCCCTGGACTGTCCTCGCTTCACTGTGAAGCCAGGACACAACAGCACATTTTACAGAACTGAACATTTCCCACAGCTCCTCCTGACACTCCTCTGCCATCCAAGCAGATCTGAGGTGATTCCCTCTCCAAACACAAATCACAGGAGCACAGGCCATTGTTCTCTTCCCTGTCACGGCACCTCTGGTGTTGTCTGCAATAAAGTGACTGACAGAAACACGAGCTTGAGGCACGGAAAGAATTATATTCATGTTTGGATTGATTTGTCCCAATATCAGTAATTTTTATCTCAAATATGTCTCAGACTTACAGTTTTCTTTGATATCTCTGCTTTGGGGTGGCAGAAGCCTCTCAGATGACTTTGTATGCAAAAATAACCTTGTGCCCAGCCAACAAAAAGTGCTAAAAACAGTGTTACTCTATAAACACAAATTCATGCAGTGCAGAACAAGGATACTGGAAGTGTCCATGGTCAATAAGAATGAGGCCTGGATAAAGCAGGATACAGAGAGCACTGGAAACCTGGAAAAAAAGGATCAAAAAAGAGAGGGGACAAATTATTATTCCCAAATTAGACAGAGGAACTTATACCTCTCCAGTACAAAAATATGCCCCTCCTTGGTGCACCCTATTTGTAGGAATCTTATTCTCTACAAGTAATCATCTGTCAGGAACATTTTGAGGAATAAAAAAGGATAAACATTTTCCATAAATGAGAAAATATTGAATATTGCCTGTCCTTTGCAAACAGCTCAAAGATCACCCACACCCATCCCAAACCTTAAACCACTGCAAAACCCAAGAGACTTATTATTCCAAAATGTATTGAATTTGTGAGGAGTGTGCAAGACAAAGCAGTTCCCAGATCCCCCTGTGCCACACCATAATCTTGCTTTTACTACTCAAGTAACAAATTCAGAAAGAAATATAATTCAGGAGTTCATGGCTACTAAATTTCAGAGCATCTTGTTATTGAAAGCATTAAAATAATTGCTGTAAGATAAAATAATGTCTTTTTAATCTTTTGAAGTGAAAAATCTTTAATATGAGCTACACTGATTGTCATCAGTTTCACATTGGTGTTTTGGATGTTAATTAACTCTGTTATAGTTCTACTCTGTTCTAACTGTGTTTTCTTTGTTTAATTTACACACACACACACCAGGTACTTGCCTTCTTTTTAGCAGATGTTTCTTTCAAGGAAGAACAATATAAAATAACTGCAGGAATATAAACCAGCAAATCAGCAACAAACACTGCAAAGTAAAGATTAACTTTACATTAGAATCCTCCCAGGAGGAGACAAGGACAACATACAGGCAAGTGAGCATTAAAATATCAGAAAGTTCTTCATCGGAATAAACTGGGCAGTTCCACTTCAAAGGACAAAAAGAAACAGGTCCACAGAATTTGATCTTGTTAATGTGTGTAAGGCTCATTTCTGATGTCCCAAAGCTGCTGCTTCCATGTGTTCAGCTGTCCTGGCTCCTGGCACAGCCTCAGTCACACAGGGAGCACACTCTAGTTCCTCACATGCCAAAACCAGGGAGGCATTTGGGAATGCCCAAAGAAATCGGCTCTGACTGGATCCAGGCAGGTTCTTTGATGGGACAGATACTCTGGGGACACAACTAAGAAGCTCCAGATTGTAAGAATCTCTGTGTGAATTAGTGATGTGGGTCAATAGACTAAAGCTAGTGATTTGGCTTTGATAACCTGCCCACAGCAAGTATTTGTAAGAGTTGACAAGAAAACAGAACCAGTAGGTTCCCCTGCCTGTGATTCTGCCAAGGAGGTGAATTCCCTTTGAGCCTGAGAAAAAAAAATTATTTTTAAAAACCAGTTTCATAAAATGTGCAGTGGTTCCAAGAGGGAAAGTGTACTTTGCCTCATTTTAGCCAAGGCCCTTGGAAGAAAATGTTTCAATATTCTCAGTTACTCAGTGATAAATTGTTTTGCCAGCTTAAGCCACAACTAAACAAATATACCCAAGGTGTTAGCAAAACAAATACACTGATGCTTCAAATAAAGCTGACATTGACCCCTCTGAATTATTTTAATGCATTCTTCTAATGGCTACTGTTAAAAAGTGTTTATCAGCTCTCTAGATCCATCAGTGGTTTGTCAAGTGAGTTGATTTCAAAATTAATAAAGACCATTTCAAGGGTAATTAAGTTCTAGTGATTTTTATTTTTTTTCAATTCAATCAATTACCAGAGACCAGACTGAGAGGTTTGTGAAGTACAGAAAAGCTATTGATGAACAACAAATTCTGCTGTTGCAATCAGAAAGCATTTTGTGGAACTTGAGTGTCAGGGAAAGCAACACAGGTTTAAAATGAAGGAAAACAGAAACAGTATAAGAGTTCCTTGGACACATTGTTTGCTGTTTTCCTGATACAGTTACCAAATTAAGTTATCTACAGATTTTTTCTGTACTTGTTTCATCATTTTCTTTGTAGTGGCAGTTTAACATAACCAGAGAGTCAGAAGAGTGACTGCAGGAAAATGAAATTCAGAATAAGTGTGGTAAAATAAATTTTTACCTTTTTGTTAACAGTAATAATATCAAATGTCTTTCCCTTTGAGATCAAGTATCCAGCTCATAATAAAGATCTCTGAGACCTCAACTGGCTGTTAAGTCAGTGAATGCCAGTTTACATGTAAATTAATTTTAATATAAAAACCAAGTTCAGCTAAAAATAAAAAGATAATTTATCAGAAGGGAAAACGAGAATATTCTTTTCAAAATTAAAAAATGAGTCTATGCTACAAAAAGTAGCTTTGTTTCAGAGTTCTTAATGAATCAATCAGGCTGGAAAATTGTTAGTGTATTTTATATTTATCATGATGGCAGAAGAGGAAAGAACACAGGAGTTTGGTTCATAAATGGACCTGCACAACCACCTGAGTTAAAGAACTGAGAATAAAGCAGCCAAACCAGAGAAGCTGCACATTAAACACGTTAAATGAGTGAGACAAATGTGCAGGGGCACCTCAAGGACTGTGATCTCCCTACCTGTTGTCCTCATAAAGAGCTTGTGTGGCTGACTCTCGTAGCCCCGGGAGCTGTGCAGGGCAACCCAGTCAGGATTTATGAACTTGGCACTGGAAAACAAAGTACAGACACGTCAAAAAGCAGACAGTTCTCATTTCCCTTTACACTCCTCTCAGCAATAAAGATGACATGCACAGGAGTATATTCCAAGAGTTAAGATGAATGAGAAGAGCAATAGTGATCAATGAGAGATTTTCCTCACCCCCAGATCAGCTTACACTATAAACTATTTCACAATTAAAAAACCCTAATCTTTGGGAACAGTAAAAAAGGAACACAATATTTATTAGAACAAAGTAACCACCTTCAGTCTGATTCCACTGACTTTTAAAAAAACAATTGTAAATACCTTTCATACTTAAGCATTAAATATAAACCATTTACAGTTCACATAGATGCTCCACATAACTCTGCCTGTGCACTTTAACCTACATTCTTATTCCATAAGTCTCATTCCAACGGCAGTAAAGCCCTTGTGGAAAAAGTATTCCAATAACAGAATTCTATTTACATGATATCCACTCATCAAATGACACTGGGGCTCTCCACACACACGAGAGCTTTCCCAGGCAATGCACCCAATTCCTACAGCACTTTTTCCCGGGCACCACTGATCCAACAGTGGAAAGCTGAATATCCAAGCCCCATCTGAAGCTGCTAAAATTTACAGACCTGATAAAAAGGAGAATGTAACACAGAAGTATTTGAAATCCTGAACTTACATGTAAGCACAGACAAAACTGTGATAGGCTGTGAGAGGTGGATAATCAAGGCCCCAGTACAGGAGGTTGTTATCACTTGTGTTGAAGTACCTAGAAAAAGTAAAATGAAAGAAGTATCTACATTTCCAGCTTACTTTTGGCCCAAGGAAGAGGCTGAATGCTAAATGTTTTCAAAATCCAAACCAGAAAGTAGCAACTTGTGTAGCTGCTTAATTTGACTGCAAATAAAGAAAATCTCAAGCAACAAAATAACAGCAAAAGTGATTCAGAGTTCACACGTTTGTGGCTGCAGAGCAGGTTTAGAAAAGCTGCTAAAGTTCGTTTCTCTGGAGAAGGAAAATCCTACCCTCCCTCAGAACTCAGGTGGACCACGTGCAAGAAAGGAAAAGGGTTTTCCCATCTGTGATCCCATTGTGTCAGTATTTCCATGGAAGGTTGGCAGCAGTTAGTTCAAACTGTCACCTCTTCCAAGTGAGAAACAGAGGGTTTTGTCCAAGGTAAAGTTACAACAGTAAGGCATCAGACCCTTTCTATCTCCCAGTGAAACACTGACTACTCTGCTCCAGCTGCCACGGGGCAAGCTAAGGCTTTTCCAGTTTCTCTCTTCAAATGCAGCCAATTTTTGACATTTATTATAGTAAATGATATTTCTTGAATTCTTTATGAGCTGCCTGAAGTGTCGTATGAGCTGATGATAAATCACATTTCTTAGAGTTGCATCTCTGCTTCTCATCCTACAATTCAAGATTGCTCATGCCAAGGCAGTGCAGATCCTTTATGCAGAATGTAACGGTTTGCAACTTTTAGTGAACTTTCCAGTTTGGGGAGTTCATTTTTTTAATTTTACCTTCCATAAACTCATAGTTTCAATAAAAAAATCCAGCCCCCATATCCAGTAATATTTATCAAGAAAGCCTTCAGATTTTTAATTAGCAGTAGGATAACAATGTTCTTAAAGCAGCCTTTAATAAATAATATCAAGACTTTAAAGAACAACATAAATAAGAATTAAGTTCTCGAATGTAATCCCTTGCATAGATGTACTTTTCCCAATGCCCAAAACTGAACATGACTTTGCTGTATTAGAGGTTGAATTCCCAGAGCAGACCCAATCCAAAACCAAAAACTTCCATTATAAATATAAAATTACATAAATGATAAAAACAGAGAGCAGATACACAGGACCAAGATGCCCACCTGGCAGCCCATCAGCTAAACTCAGCCTGCAAGAGTTTCATCTGGCCCCTGGGAATGCCTGCAAATAACGGCTGCTATAACTCCTAATTTTAAGTAAATAAAGTTCAGTGTAGCAGAGTGGATCAAAGCTGCCAACTCCATTATTATGGAATATCCCTTATCCCGCATTTGGAAATGGTAATACAGATACGACAGGATGATCTGAGGTCACCATACAGAGCCACCTGCAGAGTTCACAGATATTTACAGAAATACAATTGAATTCATATCCTATTCTGTCATATCAGTCTGTTCCCCAACAGCTGAGGGAAAACTACACCAGACAAACACCACCACTGTTCCTGCTGGAAGATGACCTGGAATTCCAATATATTCCAGTTTGTACTGTATCATATATATGGACTAAATAATTTTTACAGTTCCATGCAAGATCTAAGGAATATTAGGAATAACATAAAAAGAAATAAAATACTTGGAATAATTTTCCTTCTGTTTTAAGTGCTCTGTACAAATTAAGGTCACTAACCTTACATCTACATTCCAGTCACTCACACCTAAAAATCTAATAGGAACACAGGTGGGAACAAAGAACTCAGAGGTGTAAAACCCAACCAAAATTTCAGTACATTCACCCTTTGTAAGCTGAGCTCCACCAGCACCACCTACCACTGCCTGATGGGTAAATTGTAAGTAATTTCTTGCCAGTGCCTCTGAGCTTCATAGTCTCCATACATAGGTGGTTTTCCTGCACCTACAAAAATAGGACAAAGTGGTCAGGAATTATTTGGTTTATACAGATTGCTTTCCCCCAGTTATGTACTGCATATTAATATATTACTGATTTTATTCTCCATTCCCCTATGGTATAGGAGAGCAAACAGAGACTGCTGTGCAGTCTAACAGGGAGGACAAAAATGTTATGAGTTCTCTTGGCTTTCTGGATATTTCTGCAATAAGCATTTATCAAGGCACTGTGCGGTGAAGAACTGCTTCCTCATCTGACAAAAAAAATCACTTCCAAGTGTAGATGAAAAATGGGGCACTTTCCCTGATTTTGTGTGAACTACTGCACTTCCTCAGTACGTGATAACTGCCCATGTTCTTACCTGTGTTCCAGCCACGCTGTGGTACCTTGCTATTAAAATCAACAACCAGCCTTTTTTCATGGAAAAAATAAGCTTTATCGATGCAAACATTTCAGTGTCCACTCAAATAATTCCCTCCCTGGAAGGTTAACTCTGATACTGGCAGCATGTTAAGCACCTTCACAGAGTTTATTTACTTCTATTAACCTGCTTATTGAGAACAGAGACTGGACTGATTGTACTCCCAGAGAAATATTGACATCAGCCAGACAGAGATTTAAGGGTTTCTTTAAAATATAGGAGAGCCATCTATATTTCTTCACGCGATCTAAGTTTGTGGGAGTCCCACAAGCTCAGATATCTACTATTTGTCCCCAGAAAGTGGAAAGGACATATTATCTCTGCTAATTTATTCCTGGGTGACAGAGAGAGTAGATTATCTCCGCTATATGACGCATTCAACCTAAAGTTTCCTAAATAAGTGAGGTCACTGGGAAACGGGAGTTTCATCAGTGTCAGTTCTGGAGCTATACATTCTAGTGGAACAAAGAATCTAACATAGGATTACTGAAATTCAAGATTTTAATCCGAAGTTTGATTATAAAAAGCCAAATACAGACTGATCAGTTAGTTTAAGGATGCATATTCAGCTCCCATCTACAGCAAGCACAGAGTATACAGACAAACCGGGTTAAACATTAATAAAACCCCAATATTTTATTTTAAAAGGGTTGCTATCAGATTTTCCTATTCCTAAAGGAGTTACATGATCATTGTGTAGGAAATAAAGATTTAAAAATTGCTATTGTAGTTTAGGTATTATTTTAGAATATCTTTCAAAATCTTGATGGATTTAAATCAAGTTTTAAAAATCCTGTTAGCAATGGAATTGTAAATACTTGCAGTGCAAGAGAAATTCAGTGTTGTGTGGCAAAAGACAGGATGTTTTCTGCCTAGAGATGGGTGAAAGAGTCCCAGTTACCTACAGATCTCTCAGAATGGTGTTTTCAGAAAGCAAACTCAAACCAAAACAACTGAGCAAGCAACTCAGGTTCAAGCAAATTCCTTCAGCATGAAGGAAGCCCAGGAGTCACCAGTTTTTATCACCAGAATTACTCCTGAGCTCCAACCACTCAGGGGATGAGGCTCCAACTGACAGAACAGAAAACCAGAGCTGGATTAAACTGAGCTTGTGATCCTTTGAACTGATGAAGGTTGAACATAATGGTTCATTTTTTTATTTTTTTCCTCAGTTTGCAGAGAGCAAGCTTTGAGCAAGCTTATGCTACATAGCAATGGCATTGAGAGGCTTGGAAAGAAACTTGCTAATTCTTTGCAAGTGTTCTGACACGGGGAGGAGAAAAACTCATCCATTAACAGGATACAGCTGTAGCTCAGGCTGTAAACAAGCTCGAGGAAGCCCAGCTCCAAGGTAGAGCAATCCCTCACTCCACGTCACCTTTACACTGTCTTCATTAGCACCACTGGAGTTTTAAAACCATAATTTATATTTAGCTGTCTGATATGGAATGTAAAGGACAACAGCAAACAAATCTACAGTTGGACTGCAATATTCTGCACATAAAGGCACAGGGGAGAACAGCCACATGTTCAGCCTAAAACATCACACTGACCACCACCCCCTCAAAAAAAAAGTTGTGGTGTTTTTCCCCCAGTGTTTTGTTCCAAGCAGCTGTGATGTTAATCATTGCACATTTCAAAAAACAAAAGCAAGGAATTCTGAGGGAAATCAAGAGGCACTAAAATATGATGATACTCGAAATAACACATGGTTTCCTATTTATGACTTTGCATAAATAAAAAGTTTAATTTACCCCAAGGTCCATAGCTCAGCCTGAGAAGGTGCATTACCTGAGTAGGAGCCCAGAGACACAGCCCAGCGCACAGTAAGTGCCAGTAACACAGCAACTGTCATTAAGCTCCACTTCTCCATGGCTGCTCTTTGTGACAAGCCAAAAGGGACCTGAAAAAACACCACAAACATTGCTACAGTACCATCCACGCGGTTGCTCCTTAGGGATCACTGCTAGTCCTGGTTAATGCCACTTAGTTTCTCAGCTAAGAGCACCACTGCCAAATTATGCAGAGTGCAGATCTGGGATAGGCATCACTGCTGGTGTAAAGGGATTACAAGTGATTTAAATGAGGGCTGATCTCCCAGCAAACTTACTTGACCACTCTAAGGATCCAGTAACAACAACAAACATTGCCAAATCTGGAAAAATTCAAGGCCACATGCATCACACTTGGAAAGCAAAAAATAGGAAAATGATTAGGTTGCCCTGCATAAAAAGCAAAAACAAAACAAAAGAAGCTGCTAACTAACATGCAAAATTTGACCTGAAGAAACAAAAATATTTTAGTCTGAATTAGAAGAAAAGTGAGGAAGAAACTACTCCAGTCTTGACAGTGAGAGATGGGATGAGCCTGGGTACAACTGGCACAGATTTTCCTTGCAGGAAAGGCATCATTTGACTTAAAGGGAGTTTAACATACTTGTTCCTGAGGGGAAAAAAAAAAAAAGAAAAGGAAAACAACAACAACAAAGCCCTCAGTCTCCTCACAGCAGCAGTACTAAGCTGCTGTTTTAGTAACAGACAAGCAACATCCAAGGCATATTTAGGTGATTCTGCTCAAACTACATCCATTTTATTCCCTATTCACAGAAAGCTGTGAACCAGCACCACCAAGGGAAAAGTTAATTAATAATATAAATCTGTGGCAGCAGTACATCACCATCTATCCATAGAAAGGTGAAGACTGATATTTGCATGTTTTCAATGTGCCTAAACCACAGAGGAGACACTTTTATCTAAATAAAAGATAATGGGGTCAACTCTGTAGATCTTTCCACCCTAAATGGACCCTTGTGCTTCCTAAATTCATGTCTAATAGGCCCAGAGTCCTATAAGAATTCCAAAATCAAGCATCACAAGCCCAGCCTTTCCCTTCTATAAAATACATCTGCCCTTCCCTTCCAGGTCATCAGAACAGTTATTAATTAATTACACCTTTTTAATTCCTATATAACACCTACAGACTCCTCCATTTCTGTTCCTCTCATTTACTTCTCCCATCCTCTACTTTTGGAACAACTGTTGTTTTTCTGAGATACTGAACTTGTTTCTCTCCCTTCAAAAGTGGTTCTTGAACTAATTCTTTCCTACTTAATTTTCAGCTTTAATAATTATCCCACACCTCCTGAAACAAAAAGCCATGCTTGTGTTAGAATCTAGAGCATGAACCTCTAGTTTCTGCTATCCTGCGGGTAACAATATTAAACAAGGAAGAGGTTTCAGGGGATGATAAGGCTGGTTTGGTCAGTCCCAAACTTTTCACCTTCTGTCTCTGCCCGCGCAACACCTGAGGGTCTCTATAGTGAGAAGCCACCTGGAAGCATATGGTGACAATCCCTCAAAAACCCCACTATCCTTCCGCACTGCCCAGAACGAAGATAAACAGCACCAATACAAACCACCCACTCCTGGCCACAGGGACGCTGACAGAACCCAGCCAGCGATGCACAGCCTTAATACAACTTGCTTTAAATCAGCACACATCTCAGCAGCGCCTTTCCCTCCTCAGAAACGCGAACGCTGAATGAAGAACTTTAATCTGTTGCAGCGACACCCGTCTGTGCCCCTGCTGTCCCACTCACCCTGGTCAGGAGGTGCTTTTACTCCTCACAGTCCCTCATCCGCCCCATAACTCCCTCACCCCGCTCTCAGATGCCACTCACACGCTTCGCACCCCCGGCCTCCTCAGGGACCCCAGGATGAGCTGTCGCTGAGGGACTCGTGCCCAGGGCTCCCTGAGAGTCCGTCCGAGCTGCTCCCACCAGCCAGCAGACCCTGCTCCCCTCAGCCTCCAGCCCCCCGCTCCCCTCAGCCTCCAGCCCCCCGCTCCCTCAGCCTCCAGCCCCTGCTCCCTCAGCCTCCAGCCCCCTGCTCCCCTCAGCCTCCAGCCCCGCTCCCTCAGCCTCCAGCCCCCGCTCCCCTCAGCCTCCAGCCCCCTGCTCCCTCAGCCTCCAGCCCCCTGCTCCCCTCAGCCTCCAGCCCCCTGCTCCCCTCAGCCTCCAGCCCCCTCCTCGCCCTCCTCACCCCCTCCTCGCCTCCCTCAGCCGCCCCAGGGCTGTCAGCCGCCCTCAGCCCCCTCACCTCAGCCGCCCCGCTCGCCCCCCAGCCCCGCTCGCCCCTCGGCTCCGCCGCTCCGCTCCGTCCGTTCCCGCCCTCGCTCCCTCACCGGCTCGGCCGCCACGCGCGCTTCCGCCTGTGAGGCGCCTTCCGGGCGGGCTGTGCGCACGCGCGGGGCGGGAGCCTGGGAATCCTGCATGGATCCGCGGGGGGATGGATCCTGAACGGATCCGCGGGGAACCGGAGCTCTGGGAGAGCTGGGGATGTTCCCCTCGAAAGGAGGAGGCTCCGAGGAGACCTTAGAGCCCCATCAAGAGCCTAAAGGGGCTCCAGAAGAGCTGGAGAGGGAGTCTGGACAAGGGCCTGGATGGGCAGGACAAGGGGGAATGGCTTCCCACTGCCAGAGGGCAGGGTTAGATGGGATGTTGGGAAGGAGTTCTTGTTCATGAGGGTGATGAGGAGCTGGGATGGAGTTCCCAGAGAAGCTGTGGCTGCTCCACTCCAGGCCAGGTTGGACGGGACTTGGAGCATCCTGGGATAGTGGAAGGTGTCCCTGCCCATGGCAGGGTGTGGGACTGTCTGACCTTTAAGGTCCCTTCCAACCCAAACCATTCCATGATTCCGTGGCACATGTAGTGCTCACATCCCCACGGCAGCAGTTCAGGGAAGGGGAGGATGCTCTAATGGGTGTTGCTGATGAAAAGCACAGTCCTGGCACAGGGAAAGACCAGCTCTTTATTCAGTCGATGAATCTGAGTATGGGTTCTTTATCACAGAAGGAAGGGAGCAGCTGGAAGACTTGTTCTTCAACACACCATGTCACTGGGAAGAAGCTCCTCATCTCATCCCACCCCCTGCCATGGACAGGGACACCTTCCTCCAGACCAGGTTGCTCCAAGCCCTGTCCAGCCCGGCCTTTCCTTCTGGCTATGTGTCTAAATGAAAGTGAATAGGAAACCGATTATTTTTAAAACTAACACCACATACTGATGTTTTTGTGGCCAAACCTTCCATATGAGCTGCCAGCAGTGCTCTCCTTGAACTGGAATCCCAGGACTGAAAGTTGTGATGGGTTTAAACACAACTGCTACCAAATGAAAGTGTGGTCAAGAAGTGTCCCATTACTTGTAATAGAAATGTTGAAGTAACCGGAGATTATGGGAAACAAAGCTATAATTTATTATTTTTTTAGAAGCACATGTTGTTTTTAAAATAAATTAGCACTATGAATGAGTATTCCATGACACCAGAGATAAATTTTCTTTCTTGATGTTCTTCCAGTGCAATAACATCTAGAATAGTAATTTCCGCTATCCAAACCATTTTTGAGTGTAAATGCTTGGGCATCCTAATACCTCCTACACCTGCCATCATTTCTGTCAGCTGTGATGTTACCTCAGCTCAGACAGTGTAAAGAGACTGAAAGTCTGAGGTCTTAAACTGACAAAGGTAAAAATCACACCTGTCTGCTGTTTTACCAAAGTGTTTGGAGCCATAATCCTGTGGAAAATGGCAGATTATGCCCATCAAATTTTACACAGTTTGTCTAATCTGTTGTACTCCATCACTTATACTGCTGCTAAGTAAAATGCTTCTGTTTCAAGATATTGATAGGATTTTAAGGGATGTGTCGAGGTCACAACTCTGTAAAATAAACATAATCCTAAAAACTCATCAGCTACAAAGTAACTTGGAATACAGAGTTACACCTCCAGAACCCACCGCGGCTGGAGCTGGTTTATGACACCGAAAACACGCGATGCAAAGTGAATTCCGAGCCTAAGCCCGGGGAGAATCACCAGGGCAAAATCCTATTTCAGTCCTCCTCCCTCAGCCCCTCTCTCCTTTCCCTCTTCTCTCCCCTCCAGGATTTTCCATGCCCGGAATTCCCCAAACAGCGAGGCCGGGGAGCACAGCAGCGCTCAGCCACCCCCAGTCTGTGAGCGTTGCCTATGGGCTCCTACCGCAAAAAAAAAAGAAGTTTTCTGTTTTACCTTGCAGGTTATTCCTAATTAGTTTCTGGAGCTGGAATGGAGGAGAATGCAGGAGCCCACGGCCGCACATTCAAGTGCATTATTTCAATTAGCTGAGCGTTCTTTGTTGCAAGGTGAAATCATTCACTCCCCGGGAAAGCTTTTTTATTGAATGCTTTCTAAATACTTGCATTGGGCACGTCGCCTGGAATTGAGTCTCTGTCACTAGTGTTTCTGCGGTGACTTTGACCAGATCAATGACTGGAAAAGGCATTAAGGACACATTGATACCGCGGGGTAGGAGACGAGAGGGGTTTGGTGCTCAGGAGTAAAGAGAAACCGATAATGAGCAGATAAACGGCTTTTCTTAACCCTTGGCGTTCTCGGGAGGCTTCGGCAGCTCTGCTGCCTCTTCTCCACCCTGGCTCTCAGGCTTGATGTAAAGCCGAGCAGTGGCAAGGCAAATATCTCCCGGGTATTCCATAAATTTGGAGTGAAATGCGGTCAGAATAATGAGAAAGTCTTTCCTGGGGCAGGCGGAGGGAAGAGCCTGCGGCCATAAAAAGTTCCAGCTCGTCAAGGATTTCGTTTCTGAGCGGAGCCGTGATGCCGGAGCGAGCGGGGAAACAAACTCTGGAGACGTTTTCAATTGCAGATTCACAATCTGACCTTTTATCCCGACAGCAGAACATCGGCCGTGATTTAGCGGGCACAGAGCCGGGCGCTGAGAGCCACGCACTGACAGCCCACTGGAGCCTCGGCTCTTTCCTATCCTTTCCAGAGCAAAACCACGAATAAACATGTTTGAAACCACTACCGGGAGATGCATTTATTTTGATTTTATTCCCCTGAAATACTAGGACTTGATAAAGTAACTAGAAATCACTGAGGGTTTGGGTTGTTTCCTTAAGTCCCTGCGATTCTCTGGGCGCTGGGGGACACGGAGCTTCCCCCGCACGATCCGGGGATTCCCAACCCGAGGGATGCTCCGAGCCCTCGGTAAAGCAGAGCGAGACATTTCGTCCCTTCGTGGAGAGGAGAGACTGAACCGTTTTCCTGTGTCCCGGCTTTTCCCATTTTGCTGAACCTCGAGAAACCCGGGATTTTATTGCATCTGGAGTCAAGGACGCTCCCTCTCACACTTCGCCGTCTTAATAAAGTCGCGCAGTGCCTGCTTCCTCAGCTTGCTTACCAAATCCCGGATTAATAAAGTTTACTTAGTTATTTAAATAGATTAAATGTCATATTTTAAATGGAAGGGGAAGGTTCTACCTTCCTGACCTATTTTTCATTTCTGATTTAGAAAAAGGCAAGATTAGCATGGATATTGCATTTTCAAGGACCTCGCCACTATTAAATAGACTGTTAAGTGCATTTTATGGCTGAAGAGTCTGTTCCCAGTTCAGTCTGGAAGACGTGCTAAGTTCATCTCTACCTGCTACATTGAACATTCACTGACTAAAATACTTCCTGTGGATGTAATACCTTTGCTCTGTGTCTTCTAAGTACATAACGCTTTATGTTTTAGCACTGGTAACACGTAATTCAATAAAATCCCCCGAAATAGAAGTGTTGTCTCCCAAGAAAACTGCACGCGTGTGTTTGGCCAGGTGCAGCGATTCCCGGCTCGGGGAAATAGCACGGTGGTGGGACGGGAGGCTTCGGGGAGGGATGACAGGGATGCTCGCGGCTCCGGGAGGGTGTTTAAGCGGGCGCGCATCAGTCGCAGCCCCGCGGGATGCCCGTTCCCGTACCCAGATCCGCGGGCATCTAACATCAGTAAATCCCCCCTCGGAATGGCGAGGCTGTTTTTCTGCCTCTCGGGCCAGGCTGATCCTCCGGAGCAGGCGGGCCCCGAGTGCGTCTCGCACACGAGGAAGAGTCCACAAAACTGCCCGAGCTGCCCCAGAAGGCAAAATCCCATCGAATTCCCTCGGGAACTGTCCCCTTGCCCCACACCTGCAGGCGGGAGAAAAAATCACCACCCCCCTAAAAGCAAGTCCTTGTGTCTTTCCCGGAGTGGAACACCCCCGAGGGTCCAATGAACGACAAGGGATGGCGCTTCCCAAAGCGAAATGCTGCCCCCCCAACCCCTTTGTTTCTGGCCCAGGTCACGAAGCCGGGGCCGGTGGGATGGGGAGCGAGGGAGCCGCATTCCCAGAGCCGGGAGGAGCTCTGGGAGTCGGGCAGCGCTGGGATGTGCGGGGGGTGCGCGGTTAAACGCCCCCGGTACCGCCGGCGCGGACCCAAACCAGTAACCCCCGAGGAACAGGGAGCCATGTCCCCAGTGGATGATCTTCTCCGGCCACCTCCCTGTGGGACAGGGAGAAGGAAGGTGTCCGATGGGCATCGCTCCCCTGGTGCCCCCAGAGCGCTCCCGACGGTGTTTCCTCCGGGAAACCTGGCCTCGGTTCTGCCCTCCCGCAGCTCCGGAGCGGGGTCTCCGACCGCTGCCCCGTCGGGAACACGGCTTTGCAGAGCCGGGAGATTGGGGGCGGAGAGGGGATACCCCAAACGCTGAGGCTCCTTACAGAGAAGCAACGTCCACGCGCGACAAACACACAATATCCGCAAAAGATCTTTCCCTGACTTTTCCAGCGCTCGCCGCAGCCTTTCAACACCCATTAGCCCGTAACTTTGAGCCCCGCGCTCTGCCCAGGGACAGACCGTGGTGCTATAAATAGGCGGTGTTGGGAGACGGCAGAGCGGAGTGAGGGAAAAGGGGGCGCAACTCCCGCGGCCCCCGCAGGGAAAGCGAGAGTTCCTCGGGAGCCCCGCATCAGCCGAGGAAATGGTCCTGATGAGCCCATCTCGTCCCTTTTTCAACCAGCGTGATGGTTTAGAGGATTAGGGCCAGATCCCATTGTACATTCCTTCCCCGGACGGAGGGAGCGGCGGGGCCGTAATTGTAATAAATAAGGGGGGAGAGTGTCAGCGGGGTGGGGGTGGCTCTGGGTAAACTCTCCGGGCTGCGAGGAGGGTCATTTTCGCGGTGTTTCGGATCTAGTTACTTCCAACACACCCCAGGGACCGACGTGACACGACTTACACTAATGGGCATCTGTCACCGGCCGTGTCAAGTTGTGCCATATGCGTCGGACAAGTTTGTGGAAGGGAAAAGCAGAGAAAGAATAAGGAAAAGAGTTCTGTGGTCTGGTTGAG